ATATAAAATGGAAAACTTCTTTGTTTAGAAACAGAGTCTTGCTCTGTCATCCAGGCTGGAAGTTGGAGTGTACTAGTCCACCCATAGCTCAAATGCCTGAACTCAATCAATCTTCCTGACTCAGCCTCCCGAGTAGCTGTTCATATGTTTATAAACATATAAAAGTGACTTACAAGTGACTAACTTTTTTGTATTTTACAGAGATAGGGTCTCACTATGTGGCCCAGGCTGGTCTCAAACTCCTGGCTTCAAGAAATCTTCCCACCTGGACCTCCTGAAGTGCAGGGGTTACTTACCACTGTCCCTGGCCTAACATTTTCACTTAGTTTTCTTTCAATTCTGTTGTTGGTACTTTTTATTATAATTTTTTTGTTTTATGTATCAAATCTCTACACCTCTATTTATAATTTCTGGGTTACATGTCTTCATTAGAAGGCCTCCTGCTATGCCCTACCTCCCTTTTTAAAATTATAAAAATGTTAAATTCCTTTATTATGTACAGACATATTTTTTAGATTAACATCTAGATCATTAATCCATCTGAATTTTGCCGTATGTATAGTGTGCGATAAAACTTTTTCCCAATTTCAATAATCCATCTTTTCCCCATTGATTTTAAATATTGCCAATACCATAAAATAAGGGTGTGCTATTCTTCTCTTGAGCTATTTTTCCTTTTAAACCACCATCACTCTGAAATTCTTTAGTGTATATGAAATCTAAAAATTGGGTCATTAATTTCTGCACAAAACTGCAGAAATAGACTGCCCAAGACCTTGTGCTGTTAGGGAGGATAAGATTTTTGGAAACAATATCCTTCACCCAAACTCCAATTAAGCACTCAGGAATGTACTGGGGTTGACCCCAGGTACTTGCAACTGGTGATCAATTAGACATAGGTATACATTCTCTGGTAGAGGCAGGAGGTGCAAGAAATAAGGGGGAGGGGACAGAGAAGAGTTCTTGTAGAGCCTGTTAGAAGTCTTCTCTAGTCACTGTTCTCATTGGCAGCTGAGTGCATTTGTGGCATCTGAAAGCCAAGGGTGCTTACCCTCTAATTAGGACTGCTCCTGTGTCATCCAGTCTTGCTCTGGGCTCTGGGCAAACATGTTTTTGCATCCGTTACTCATAGCAGATGAACCTGAATCCTTGACTTGTGTCTGCTAGGTTCTTTCCATCATTCTTAGTCACCTTTGTGATACTCATGCAACTATCATCCCTTAAAGTCATGTAATTTGGAAATCTCAGACTTCTATATATTTTCTGCTTCCCTTTACAGTTAAAAGTGCCAGATGGTTTTAGAACTTCAAGACTAAAGGTTTTGTCTTACTCATTTTTTGTATTCTCAGAAACTCTAGTACAGAGCTGAGAACCCTAGTAAGCAACATGTTCTATTTCAGTCTGCTGTTTCCTCCCGATTAGGTATATTATAACAGACTGCATGGGTAAATTCATCAGCAACCCCATTCCCACCCCAAAGTTTGAAAAGAAGTAAATGGAGAAGTAAAAATGCAAAATAAACATATAAATGAAAAATAAAAATCCAAAATAAAATGCAAAAAGAACATATAAATGGCAAATAAGCACATGAAAATGACATCCAACATCATTAGCCGTCAAGGAAATACAAATGCACGAATGTTCACAGAAGTTTAATTCAAAATAGCTAAAGATTTAAAATACTTCTGGTGTCCTTCAACAAGTCAATGGTTAACCAAACTGTGGTACATCCATACCATACTATTTAGCAATTAAGAGGAGCAAACTATTAATACATACAATAACCCGATGAATCTCCAGGGAATTATGTTAAGTGATAAACGTCAACCCCAAAAGGTTATATACTGTATGATTCCACTTATATAACATTTTTGAAATGAAGAAAGGCAGCAAATTAGTATTAGAGGGTATGTGTAAAGGAGGGGTAGAAGATCCAGTTATAAAGGAGCAATGTGGGAAATACTTGTGCTGATGGAATTATTCTGTATCTTGACGGCAGCAGTGGATACAAAGACGTACACATGTGATAAAATTGTATAGAAACAAACACACACACACACAAGTACAAGTAAAACCAGGGAAATCTGAAAAATATCAGTGGATTCTCTCAATGTCAGTATCCTGGTGGTGATATTCTACTGTAGTTCTGCAACAAGTTGCCAATGGAAAAAATTGGGTAACGGGTACGTGGGACATTTCTAACCATTTCTTATTACTGCATGTGACTCTATAGATACCTCAAAATTTTCATTCTAAAAATGGAGAGTAAAGAAACAGTGAGGCAATTTAAGCCTTGTTAAAAACTAAATAAAATTTCTAAAACCTCAGGGTGCTAGAGAATCTAATATCTGGGATTAATTTTAAAATAATACAGGAGAAGGGTAAGTGAATAGAAGTTCAGGAGGGGAACACTGGTCATACAGTGATGATTGCTGGGGTGGCTTGACAGGTCTCTGGGTGTACATTATAGTGTTCTATCTACTTTGAGGAATATTTAAAATTTCCAAAGTAAAAAAAATTAAGGTAAAAAAGTTTCTGATACCTTATTGGAGAATATAGAATCAGAGAACTCTAATAGTGAAAGAGATCTCAATCCTTCCACCTAGTCAACACTCTCATC